TTGATTGTAATTCCTAAATCCCACAATTTCGTTGTATTTTTATTATTGTAATTTTATAATTTTAATTTATCGTAATTTTTAAACCCTTTATTTTAGTATAATCTTAGCAAAAATATTAGGAACCTGTTCTATTAGGGTCAGTTAGAGTGGAGCAAAGCGTCACTTCCGCAGCTACAGATGATCCTGTCAAGGGAAAAGTATAGCGTTATTTCTAGAAGTATACTTTAAGTGTAATAAAATCGCTGGATTTTCCGCTACTTCTTTCTTGGGGGAATTTGGGCTTGTAGAGGCAGACATGAATTTCAAACCCGTGTTACTTTGATGGAATATTTGTGGACTCTCCTTGTCGACACTCGCCAAGGGGCAGCTGAAGAAAAGGCTTCAAGCCATAGTTTAATATATTTTATCCCATTTTTTTCATTATCCACTATTATAGTCCTTTTTATTCTATGCATCGCAGTGCTACTTTATTTACTCTTTTCTATTGTGTTCGACTGAATTTGTTCTGTAAGGTTTCATCTATTTGGCTAAAACTCAATTCTATTTAAAGGAATTGTTTATTAGAATTTGTTCAGTACAGTGAGATTGACGAGATTTATTTATTTAGTTTTTATGCAAATCAATTTACACTGCTACTCTATATCCTCAAAATGACCCTTGTTTATATTCATTTCTTTTGTTACTGCTATTGTACCGTATTACAAGTGTAATGATGAATGAATTTAATATATTATAAGAGGAGAAGTATTCACCCTATTTTGTTTAAGGTGATGAAGGACTGGTTGATATGAGTGAAGCTGACGTTATAATTGAATTTCACAGCTTGAATACATCACATATTACTGATTTAATGGTAGTCTTGAAACTCAAATTAAATACGAAAGATAAATATATATTATTTTTTGTCTCATTTAATTGATGCAATCCTTTATTTTTCAAAGAGTATGCTTTAATTTTTAAAACTTCTACAATGTATTCGCCTAATTATTTCCTGGCTAAAATTGATTTTATTGGACTGTATTCTTCTTTTTTTACTAATCTTAATGTTACAGGTGAAATTACTTCTCTGGATACATGCAATCCTCCGCACTTCGATGTTTTTTTCTTGTTGCTTCTGAAAAACGTAAAAAATCAGGGATATATAATGACTTTCTCACGATAATAAGGAAGGCGATTCTATACTTTGCTCGGAATTAGTTGATAGGTTCTTACTTCAATTCCCGTAAGCACTACTGTAAGGGCTTGAAGGTAGTGGAAGGTGATGAAACGACCGTCGAGTTCACGTTTTCCAAGACTGCATTGACCCACGAGTTGAAGAAGCTATATGATGTAGCACAAGTGGTGCATTTTTGAAAATAATAATAGAGGATTTATGAGATTCGTTGCAGAAAAAGACTAATGATGAAGAAGATCTTCTCTGTTCATGCAATAGTTCAAGTTGCATCTGTATCCAGGCTTTATATGCTCCGACTATTTAATGTTTATTTTATATGTTTGGTAATTATTGCAAGTATTCAAATTTACCTTTGACGCACAAAGTCGTCCATCGGAGTAGTGGCTAAAGCCGAGAAGTCTGCGGCACTTTAACCGGCTTTTGGGATCATTTGTGCAGTCTTTTCTAAACAGAAATGTAGTTTAATCAACGTTTTATAGAAAGTTTCATCCATAATTCATTCCGCATAAGTCAGTTTGTTTGAATTTGGCAGAGTATATCGGGTCAAATAAACGCCTGTCTATAGGGATATTAGATAACAAGATGGAAATTTTTATTTATTTATTTTTCGACAAGTAATTTAAAGAAATGTTTCATATCTATGCCTGAGGCACTTGCGATAATTGGTAGATCGGGAAGGTAGCGACTCAACTTGGGCCGGTGTGATTGTGGTAGACTGTGATCTTTTTGTCCCCGGCTCCAGTTCGTGCAAAACGCTAGTCATACCGGCTTGTTGGGACAACTGGATCCCACTAGACCGATTGTCGGTTGACTTTACTGTAGCCTTTCTGCCAAGATCTTCCTCGAGGCATGTGTCTAGCGAAGTAATTTGACTAAAAAGTGTGAAGTTTTTTTTTCTCCTTCACCTTGAAAGGCATCTTTAGAGCAGGATAGTATTCCTAAACGCACTTTGGAGCTTACGACTCATTCGAAGATCTCCTTAATCGAAAGTTGAGACAAGCAAACTGAGATTTTAATCGACACGTTCCAATTCAGTACCAAAGTAGGCTTGAAATGCAAAAGAAACCCAGTTTGTAACTGTTCAAATGTGATTCTGAATAGTCGGGTTACATTTTTATCCTTCAGACCTTTTAAACACAACCTTAATCATAAAAATTGAGGTTATACGAAGAAAAGTTGGGTTTGGATATGCCTCTTGGTGCATACTTTTTAGGTTCATCTACTTTAGTAGTGACAATGTGAATGCGGTTTCCTTTTGGCTCTTCTGGTATATTCATGTTGATGCTATCCTCTTCATGCCTAGTCCTCGTCTCTCCCACGACGGAAGCCATTTTTGCAGCTCAATTCCAACTAACCGGTAAATAAATGCTGTACATTTAGCCTTTATATATACTCTATTTCTGTACATTTTGATGAGGAATAAAGTTATTTTGATCAGTTCAAGTCATATGTCAATCTAAAAGTGTCTGTTTGTGTGCGCTTGTGTGTCAGGAGGAACTTGCTGGTGTCCATCTGCTAGTGGGATCGGCCTTTGAAGCGCCACGTAGCACATACTTTCACTCGAAATGGAAACAGGCGAGTTGTGGAAACTCAACTGTTCTTCGCATGTTATGGCAAATTTCTGAATTAGCGTCGTTCCAATGCACGGAATCAGTGCTCCGTCTTGCCTAAAACAGTCATCTGGCCGTCGTTAACGTCCATTCGTGCAAACAATTGATGGTAAAACGAACAGATCTCCACTCTCAGAAACTCACCCGAAGATGCGCTCTATCAGGCAAGAAATCATCTTCTCCAGGCAGTCGGGTCTCTAAAGAGGTGGTGATTCTCTCGCTGGCGAACTTCAATCTGCTGCCGGCATGGCGGAGGTGTGCAGGAATAGGCCAGCCGTCCGGTGGTACAGTGAGCCACGCCCAAAAGGGAAGAATCGTCTAATCCCATCGGCACGGGCAGGACGACAGCGGAGCACAGAGTAAACTATGCAACTCTGAAAATGCACTTTTTACGGATTACTCGCTTGTCTGGATTACTTCTACACATGCCGATGGGCAAATGTGTAATCGGATTACATGGTCAGAAATGTGGAGACCGTCGGTGAGGATGACCGACTGATAGGGTTGGTTATAGCCAAATCGACAGGTTACAAGAATAAATCAGTCAAAAGTCATGTATACGAGCTATGAGCTCTGGTTGAGGATAAAAAAGAGCCTAAACTCACCTCATCAAGTTCACTCGAGCAGGACGGATCGAGATTGCGCGGAGTATGTTTAGCCTATTTCGTTTGCTTTCCCCGAAACTATTCTGATCCAGGCTGGACCGGAATGCAATTTCAATCTCGCCTCAACTGATCACATCAGCACCCCCAGCGGGACTCGAACCATGGCAGAGCAGCATATGATCTTGACTGCTATAAATGCTCTTGGGTAGATGTGAATTACAAAAAAAATCAGGCTTTTTTTCACCATGTCGCATTCTGTTGAGGGATTGTTGATGAGACAAAGTTATATTTGCTTTAGCAATCGGCCAACTTACATATTT